GCAGCCGCCCGGCGCGGCCGCTGTGAAGGAGCGGCTCGGCGCTCAGAGGACCTAGCGACCTGCGGCTCCCGTCGCCAGCGGCTACGCGTGTGTGGGGCCGGCGGGCGCTGCGATGTAGGGGCCTGGCAGCGCCCCGGTGCTTGTGCTCCGAGGTCAGCCCAGCCTCGTCCTTCCCCTGGACACCTGTCCGCTGCGCGGCTCGTCCAGGTCCAGTTGGCTCCTGTATCCTTAACCATCTCCCTGTGTGTCCCTCCTGCCGAAGGCCTCTTGCCCAGGACTTTTCTGAGCTAATGGAAGCCATGCCGTGAGAGCTGCCCAGACTTGCTCATAGCCATGACGGAGCCCCACCGGGTTCAGTTCACTTCTCTCCCAGGTCCGCTGAGCACCAGCTTCTTGAAGAAGCCTCGCAGGGAGGATGTGTCAGGAGCGGAGCTGCCCCAGGACTCTGAACCGGCCGCAGCAGCAGTTCGCATCACGCTTACCCTTTTTGAGCCGGATCACAAGCGTTGCCCAGAGTTTTTCTACCCTGAGCTTCTGAAGAACACTCGAGGGAAACTGAAGGGTGTTTCTTCTGGAGACAAGGTGAGCGTTTTTTGTTTGCTAAAAGCGTACCGCGTACTTTTTAGTTATGGATCTCAAAGAGCTTTGTAATGTTAACTCTTAGAATACCCTTGAGCCCGGGATACGCTTGATCTCCACTTTTAAAAGTGGGGAAACAAAGGCACGGAGAGGTGAAGTGATCAGCCAAAGACCCCATGGCTCCCAGTTCTGCAACCAGCTTGAAAAGTGCAGGACTCCTGGCTGCCAGATCTGTGCTCTTGCCAAGTGACAGCTCTTGCTTAGTTTTGACCTTCAGTAGAATTCCCCATGAAATGGACAGAGTGTTGTCTGGAAAGTGGAGAAATTATATCATGTTGTTGATTTGACCTGAAACAGGCTGATTGAAGTGTTCTTTGGTACCTGAATTGTTAAAATATGTGACTAATCTTGAAAGAACCTTGCCGATCTGATTCTTGCTGATACACAAAGAAATAAGGGCCCAGTGTAGTAACTGGCAGAGGCATATCTGTACTGCATGGAGGTGTTTCTGCCCGAGTCCTCATGATGTTTGCTGTGTTTTCGTTTGGAGTGTAAAGTGTTTTCAGTTGACACTCAATGCTGACACTTGCCTGTTTGTAAGTTGGTAAGTTTCCTTATAAGTTGGTGAGGGAGGTTGATCTTGCATCTCAATTTCTGTAGAAACTAAACTCTGTGTAACTGCCTGCACGGTGATAAGAAGAAACGAGAGGATAATATTCTTAAGAGGACCTAGAAAAAACGTGACTTTGAGTTTGTAGGTGGACAGCCCCAGTGCTGTGCTTCATAAAGGTGGCTGTGGTGTTGTCTGGGGAGATGAACAGAATTCTAGTTCATTTTCAAGGCTTCTGTTCAGACAGAAATAATCAATTTTGGGCTGCTACTTTTGAGAGTTGAGAGGCACCTTCTCTTTTGCTGTGAATGAAATTCCAAGCAATGCTGAAGTGAAAGGGGAGCAACTGTGTGGTGTGTGTGTGTGAGAGAGATTATCAGACAGGAGTGTCAAGGGTGCAACAGGGTGGCAAAGAGTGCAAAAACAAGCTGCTGATTTTCTAGCTGCCAGAAGATAAGGGGCAGGGGGATGAGGTTGGATTTATTAGTCACCTGCTGGCCAGTTGTTAAAACAAACCAAAAAAAAAAGGCCGAGCACACACTTTGACAAAGCATTTGTTTATGAATTCCAGCATCCTCTGCCCTTCTCATCAGGTTTCATGGAGGAATGGTCGAAAGCTAATTGTACCTTCTCAGAACTTACCTGGTACTTAATAGCTAAAAAAGCAAGCTATCTGATTCAATCTTCAAGCTTTGCCTATGTTGAAGCTTACAAAGCTGTCCCATTCCTTGTAGCATGAGACCTCTTGTGCTTTTAATGCACAGGGGGAAGTAGTAACATACCTGCAGAAAATATTTGTCTATCTTATTGAATATTGGCCATGTGTTCTGACATGTTCGCCTGTGTTCACGTCCGCAGAGGAAAGACCATGCTGATCCCTTCAATGATGAGGAAAGAGAAAGACACAAAGTGGAGGCTCTTGCCCGGAAGTTTGAAGAGAAATATGTAAGGGGGTTTTTTTTCTTCTTTTTCCTACAGTAATTCTGTCAGTGTTATCTCTGCTTAATCCTCTTTTCTATCTAACAATCGTACTGTAGGAGTGAAGGCTATTGCCACCTATGTTGGTGAGAGCCTTCATTTCTACTGGAAAATAGCCTTATTTCTCTCAGTAATAAAAACATGATGCTTCCTTCAGGAAGATAAGTTTAAGCTTTTCATTTTCCCTTGCTAATGGAAAGTGTCCTCAATGAAAGCAATCTAAACTTTCCTTTTTTGTAAGGCTTGGAAGCTTATACTTCCTTTAAAATTCCTCATATGAATCAATAGCATATTGTCTTTTAAATGTATATTTGTGCAGCTGTGGTGGTGGTGGTGACATTCAGGAATTTGGCAAACAGCAGCAGAATGAGGAAAATGACCTGTTTTGCCAGTCACTGCTGCTTTTCCAGGACAGCAGTGAAGTTGACATGAATTCAGTCAGTTTTGTTCTTTTGCTGTTTAGGAAAGCTTTTAAGAGTCACTTGGGATGTAGGTGCTTTGTCTATTAGTTGCGGGGGTGAGAATAAAAAATGAAGACTAGGGAGAGGTAAGCAAGAAGTAAAGTGGGAGACACCTGTCTGGTGGCAGGCAGAAAACTCCACAGTGTGGGGAAAATGTGCTGATGTCTCTGTCTCCCTTATAGCAGTTCATAGAATCATAGAAGTCGAGTCGGAAGGGACCTTGTAGATCTTCAGGTCCAACCCCCACCGCCTGGGCGGGAGAAAAGACTGGACTCAAATGAGTCCAGCCAGGTAGTCATCAAGCCTCTTCTTAAAGATCCCCACGGTAGGAGCCAGCATCACTTCCCTAGGAAGTTGGTTCCAGCTCCTAGCCGCCCTAACTGTGAAGTAGTTCTTGCGGATGTCTAATCTAAACCTACTCTCTAATAATTTGTGTCCATTGTTTCTTGTCCTGCCAGGGGGCGCTAGGGGAAACAGTGTCTCCCCCAAACCCTTCTGGTCCCCCCTAGTGAGTTTATAGACAGTCACCAGGTCCCCCCTCAGCCTTCTCTTGTGAAGGCTGAACAGGTTTAGGTCCCGCAGCCTTTCAATGTAGGGTCTGCCCTGTAGTCCCCAGTTGTAACGTGCTGTTTTAAAATACTTTCATCCTCTTGACTTGGTCTTCACCTCAAGTGGTCCCTGAAGCTTCCCATGGACAACTCCCATTTTGAGGTTCCTTCCTTTGCTCAGCTGACATGCCTCAGATTCTAAAAAGGCACCAGAGGACATGACAATAATAAGCAAGGGCTCAGACATTCCCAGAACATGTGGGAAGTACCTAGGGGAGTTGCCTGTGCTGCTCCAAACTTTGTCAGCTGCCATCCCCAGTTTTCCTAGTCTTTCTGTTGCTAATCCCTTGTGAAGGATCATCTGAGTTTTTTAAATAACTGCAGTGGTGTGGCTTTGGGTGGGGGAGAGGATGGACTTTAGGATGGGCTCATAAGTGATGGGTGTATGTTGCTTTTTTCAAGTCCTGGTATTAACGTCTTGGTAGATTGTCTTGTATCACTGGTTCAGTGCTGGAAATGGAAACAAGTGAATTTGATTCTGTTTCTTGTACCTCTACCTGCTGAAGCAAGGCTGTGCCTATATATATGTGAACAGACAGCAATGCCTCCCTTGCTTTCACCCGTCCCAGCCCTTTCCTTGCAGGGAAAAGGCTAAGAGGGAGCACTCCCTTGATCTGCGTAGGAAAGAAGTGCTTGCTTTCTGTGTGAGCAATAGTCCCTATAGTAGCTTGTGAGAATAGTGGAATGTCATTGATCTCTATCATTTCAGGGGGGCAAGAAACGCAGGAAGGACCGTATTCAGGACTTGATCGATATGGGGTATGGGTATGACGAATCCGATTCCTTCATTGATAATTCTGAAGCGGTGAGTAATTCAGAGGAGAGGGATTGTAAGTTGAGCTGCCTCGTGGGAAGCAGGTGGTGGCAGGGGAGCATGTTAATACAATTCAGGGAAGGTGTGTGCCAGGGATGACTCCAGGGGTACCCGCATAGTGGAAAATGGCTAGTTACCAGACAGGCTGTCCCACAAACAGCCCTATTAGTGAGCTTGCAATGCTATTTCCATTCCAAAACCAGGTCTCATGTAGGCATAGCATGATGAACCTGACACCACCAATCAAGTGCTTTTGCATTCTTTTCCAGTATGATGAACTTGTTCCAGCTTCTCTGACTACAAAATACGGAGGATTTTACATTAACTCGGGAACGCTGCAGTTCCGCCAAGCATCGGAATCGGAGGATGACTTTATCAAAGAGAAGAAGAAGAAGTCTCCCAAGGTTAGTGCAGATTCAGGAGCTTGTTGCTCTGTAAAAATTGAGGGATAATGGTTTGAATTTGCTGCCAGAAAGCAGCTCTGGAATAGGAGGGGTTTTGACTTCCTGCCTGCTGTTGTGGGGAGGAAGTTGGCAATGATGTGCCCCTTGGTCACGGCTTTAGTTTTGACCTCTAGGTCGTGGGTTCAATACCATCCTTGTGCCCATTGGGTAGGAAGACATTGGTCCTGCTGTTTCAATTGATGGGTAGTGTCTTTTTACCTCCTGTAGATGAAGTGACATCATCTAAGTTGTCATCCTAAAAAGTTAGTTAATGTTAGTGGAGAAGCCAAGAACTGACTAGGAATAGCCTTTCCTCCTGTGTAAGGGATGAGCCTTCCAGCCTAGGGTGAGATGTGGTGGAGAGGGATGATGTTGTTTGTGGAAGCTTGTATTATGGTACCGGCTTTTTGAAGGCCTGACACCTATACAGTCCATATAGAATATATTTGGTTCAAGGTTGGCAGGGAAATTCAGTCACCATTCATTTGCCTCTGGGATCCTGGAATGCCATCCCATCCCTAAGTGGTAGACAGTTGTCCTAGAGCTGCCCTAGCCATTGTGCAGGGTGGGTTAGTATCCTGCACCTCTGGGTACAAGATACTTGCAGACTGCTTTTGATTGCCTGAGATGGCCCTTAGATGTGCCTTTGAGACACAGAAGGTCCTTGCTGTAGAGTGGGTCCTAAAGCCCCTAACTCTGGCTTGTCTTTAATCCTAGAAGCGGAAGTTGAAAGAAGGTGGTGAAAAAATGAAGAAGAAGAAAAAAGATGATTCTTATGACAAGGAAAAAAAGTCAAAAAAATCTAAGTTCCCCAAAGCCGGGTAAGATGGAACCCTCTCTACCTGGGGGCTTGCTGGAAATGATGGCTGTCCCCTCCCTTCTGCCCCTATGAGGACAGATGGTTTTCACTGCAGTAAGCAGTGTCCAAAGGCTGCAGCCAGAGATGATCCCAGCAGGGTGTGGTGCCCAAGGCAAAGCAGGCTGCATGGGGCCCCTCTCCCTGTCCCACGGCACACTTACGCAGGAGAGTGAAAGCCCCGGCACACCATACATGGTGGGATGGATGGTGGCCAGAACTTCTGGCTGGAACAGGCAAAGAGCCGTCCAACCTGCCGGTTGCGTGGATGGCCTAACTGCAGCCGCGGCCTCTCTGCCCGGCTCTGTGGGGCCCCCCAAAATGTGGGGCTTGGGGCGGTTGCCCCAATTCTCACCCCCCTAGGGATGGCCCTGGCTGCAGCTGGGGTTGGGGCAGGAGTCTTTGTGGTGGGCACTATATAAGCACCTAGAAACATACTACGCCTGTCCCATAGAGTTCATGGTCCCAAAGCCAGAGGCAGGTTTGGGAAAAGTGCAGAACATCCATGCGACAGGGTCACAGCCACATGAGGCATATGTTTGTTCACTCTGCTCGTTCACTCTGCTCGTTCATAGGGCAAGAATGGCAGGTGATGATGGATAGTGAATTTTGGGTTAGCTGGGATGAGGGGTTGTGAGACTGGGCCAGCTAGAGCTAGACTGAAAAGCAGCTTCCAGCTGCCTTCCCGAGTCACGTTTTCAACTCCCTGCCCAAGGCAGTTTTAGTACTCAGGTGTCTTTAGTCTCTCTCCATGGAAGGGACTTGTTGCTATCAATGCAGCTGGTTACTTTTGTCTTTAGCAGACTTGTAATGCTTCACCTCTACTGGCTTTGATGTCTGGTTCTGCCTTCTATGCCCAGCCTACTCTTTCACTTCCCCACTCACTTTACTCCTCTCACCTTCCTTGCTGGCTTGCTGTGGCCAGTCCATCCTCCATTACATTTCTCTTTCTCTGAAAAACCATGAGATCCCATGAGGTTCTAGAGCCAATTGAAAAGGGAATGTGGTGGAGTTTGGTACAGGAGAAATTCTTTTAAAGCAATTAGGCTGCTTCTAAATTAACTCTGACCTTGTTGCATTTTAATACTAATGGGTCAGGTTTCTGTTTGTCTGTCATTGTGGTACTTTTGCTGTGGTATCTTGGACTGCATGTATGTGATTAACTACAAGCAGCACTTGCTGGCAGGGGGGAGCTTAAGCTCCAGTCACACCCCCACATCACTGAGAGAGAGATTATGTGCAGAACTAGGTCAGGCATTGGGCCAGTCTCTTGCTGCTGTATAGAATCTCACATGCCATAGACCTGTATCGGGAATCCCTTCCAGCCACCTCCAAGGGACATGGCTCACTGGGAGACCCATGCTCATGAGATTTTGGATAGAAAGTTGTTTTTTCAGGGATAGAAAACCACACCTTAGCCTAGGAAGAGCCTTAAAATAAGGTTAAGGGCTTTAAAGTGTCTGTGAAATCAAATAGAGCCAGTAGAATGCACAGGACAGTAATGAGCTTCCCGTTCTCAGACTTCCCTTGTCTCCAGTGCTGCTGTACTTCAGACCATTCATTGTCTCTGTCGGCCTGTAACCCTGAGAGTAGTCATGTTAAATGACTTCACTCCTCGTTTAGCTATTTCATAAGAAATAATCTTTAAGTCTTTAGACTGTGTACAGGAAACAGAACAGATTTTAAAATGAGGTGTGTGAGGCATGAACTTCTTTATACGTTAAAATAAAGAGAAATCACTTGATAGCCAGGTAAATCATTAAATACATGTATATTGACCAAAGTGTTTCTGAGGCATAGTCAGTGCCTCTGGTTGGCTGAATCTGGTACCAAATTCCTAGCAACGGCCTGAGTCATTTCTGGTTTGGAGGAGTGGGATAGGAGAAGTGCTAGACCCTGGCTGTTTTGGTGTGAAGGGGTTTCCTTTCTCCTCTCCTTGCTCTGTAAAATTCATTTCTCTTTATGGGACTTCCTGGCATAAATGTGATCTAGTTTTTTTCCCCTCCTCCCTCCCTCACTTGCAGCTTCACAGCACTGAATGCCAGTAAAGAGAAAAAGAAAAAGAAATACTCTGGAGCTTTGAGTGTCAAAGAGATGCTGAAGAAATTCCAGAAGGAAAAGGAAGCTCAGAAAAAGAGGGATGAGGAGCAGAAGATGGTGTCACTCTCCCCAGCAGAAGCTCCAGCCCCACGAGAAGTGGAGACCATGTCTGATCCTTTGCTATCTCTCTTTGGCCATGCCAGTGATAATGACTTGCTTCAGGCTGTCACTGCTGTGGACTCATTGAATGATCTGGACCTGGACCTGGAGCGGCTCTTCAATGAATCTCCAGAAGGGAGTCCCTTCCATGATGTGGAGGATGGAAGTGACCCTCTTGGGATGGGTTTGGAACAGGAATTCAAACAGCCACCCTCCCTCCCAGAAGGACTACCAGCTCCACTGGAGAGACGGATCAAGGAACTGACCCAGGTACTGCTGCTAGGCATGTCGAGGCTAGGCAAGGGGTGTCTTACCCAATGGGTGGCAGATGGATCATGCAGCTTCTTGAGGAAGATAAGCCTCTTCTGTTTCATTCACAGGTGGATTTCTTTCAAATGGAGGAATAGCTTCATTTCTCATAGTTTCTCTCGTTCATGGAAGAGCGAGACTGTGTAGGGCCTGGTATAGTATAGTTCCATTTCCTCCTGCTGTCAGTGCTTTGTGATCATATGAGAATGCTGTTCCTTGGCCTAGGAGCTTAGCTCAAAGTGTTACTGCCAGTAGGTAGCAAGCATTGGCTCCATGGCTTGGCAAGGTAGAGACTTGGACTAATAGGACTTCTCCATGGCTGACCGAGCACAAGTGGGCTTATTATAAGAGCTAATAAAGTTGGTTACATTATAAGCCAGGTTATATTATAATAGGTTTAATATGCAGTGATGATCAGAATAGAGATTGAAAAGACACTACATTCAGCATTGTGTCCATTATAATGAGCAGGTACTAGGATTCACTGTTTAGCTGTCAACTCTGCTCCATTTGTGGGATCTCCACGAGATGCTTGTAGATGGATACTTCCACTGAGACTTTTTACGGCGCACCACAGTTGGGTCTGCATTTCTGATAGGGAGGTGTGGGATCCAAACACCCAACCTTGTTTTCAGATCTCCCTGTTGTGGAATTATTTGATGGGTGGAGTGCTCTTGGTTCTTTAGGATGTGCAAAGACATTAACCATGGAGCCACCTGATGGCATCTTTAAAGAATTACATTTTAAAAATAGACCCACTTTTGGTTATTCTGTTTGTCATGATAGCGGCCGTTACTTGTCCATGAACCACTGAGGTGATGCTTCAGCCCTGTTACTAAGGTTACAGGGTAAACTTAGATTCAAGGCCCTTGTACTAACTAGGATTATGTGCTCTTGGGATAGGGTCACTGTCTTCTAGCCTTCTATTAAGAGAGCTTCTCTGCCATTCCTGAAACCTTTATAACAGTGGTGAGCCATCAGAATCATAGGTCAGAAGTTGGGTAAGGTGTTGGCATAGCTGCCTGTGCATGATAAAATGCCATGGGACTCTTTGTAAAAGTTGCTGTTTGTTTTTGCTGTTAATGGATAACACTGAAATAGGTTGCCCATGAAGTGTATCTGAGCCGGAGATGAATAATGTGGAGGCTCCCTGGACACAGAGTTAATTATTACACTGCTGCAAGATAAAGTGATGGCAGATTACTCCAAGTTGCTGTGGGCCACAGTGGAATGTTTCACCACCTGGTAGAAAAGCACCCTTTGCTTCTGCACCTGTTGTGGCTGGAGTATGGTTTTTGCAGGCAAGGAAGCACCTTTTGGTCAGTTGGGGCCCCAAAATTAAACCTATTGGCAGGTGGAGATAGACTGTATTTTTATCCCTTCTGTTCCCACCTCAGGATCTGGAGACATGTCTCTGGCAGAATAAAGCCTGTAGGCATTTCTGTACTCCTAGAGTTTTGGGGTTTAATTCTCCCCACCCTGGAAGGATCTTGATCATGTACCTTCTCTCTAGAATGGAATTGCCTTGGCTTTTTCCTGCCTTTTCACGTGTAGCCTGTCACCTGGTACTGTTGGAGATAGGGACCAATCTCGGGGAGCTTCATGTACAGGATTTTTCTGCTAGATCTTACACTTTTTGTCATCAATGTATTGCCAGCATTCTTTCCTTTTATAGGAGGTCCCATTGCTTAGCATCCAGAGTAAGGCCTTGCTGAAACTATATTAGTGGTAAGGGTGAGGTTGCCTCCTCTAAGGGCAGGTTGGATGCCAGTCACACACACAGCACTTCTTCTCCAAACCACAAACTCAGATTCAACATCTCCACCATGAAATGAAAAGCTGTGCACTCTGGAGCTATCTTTTGCTGTGGTGCAGGAGCCCTCCCTAGCTCTCTTGGGAAGGCTGCTGTCAAAACATACCAGGTGAGCTGGTTGCTAATGAGCCATGTTCATTGCCACATGAAAGGAGTATTCTCACTCAGCTTCACAGGCCACACTAGTGTGTAATTTGTGAGTGGCTATAGCATCCAAAGCCTGATAGGTCTGAGGCAGGGTATGGTCCTGCCAGAAAGGGAGGACTTGAGAGAGAACGAGGGACCTTTTATATCTGATTCTGGTCAGAGGGAATCCTGCTTTGCAGTCCAGACCTATTGGTCTTTCCTCCAGCCCCTCATTTCAGAAAGTAAAGTCACACTACACCTCACTGTGGCTCAGAATAGCATGGGACTCATTTTTGTTGGCGTCATTGGGAACTAAACATGAGGCAAGTCTGGACCTGCTGAGAAGCTGCCAGGGGCTCTGCTCTGCTAATGGGGGGCCTGAGTCCCACTCCCACCTCTGAAGGAATTGTGGCATTGTTTGGAGTGAAAGAATGGAGATTTCTTAACACTGGAGGATGAGCAGATGTATTGGCTGTAGAGTCTATGCCTGGCTAGCACAATGGGAAGGGCTGGGGCCTCTCATCTTCCACAAAGAAGCCAACATGTTGAATGCCTCAGCTTGCTGCTTTTTAGGCCAAGAACTAGAGGTGGCCATAAACTGGCTTTTGTTTCATGGGGAAACCCCAGATAAGCTTTTTTTCCTTTCCAAAAACAAAATCTCACTTTCAATGAAGCAGCATTTTCTGCTGAGCAAGTTGTGTAAAAATTTGGGGTGAGCATTCTACAAACCATGTTCTATCTGAAGTCACTGAGAAGAAACTTGGTATGCATTGCTTTCTTGTGTAATTGCTGTCCTAAGCATTGCTTTCCTGTGTGGTTAATTAATAATAGAAAGTCTGTATTAGGGTACCAAGAATACAACATTGTTCAGCAGAAGGACATTTGAATGTCTTGCTCTGTACATTAGTGGCTTTCAGGGACTGGAGTCCCCCCTTGTGTCATAGTGCTCTATCAGGGAGGCCATTTATTAGCAATATTGGCTTTGCGTTCTTTTTGTTTCTGGGACCCTCTCCCCTGCTGACTGGCCCAGGAGCATTGGTAGATATCTTCCCGTACATCCATTCAGATGAAAGCAGTGACCCATATGGGCTAGGCCACACTGCAACAGTGTGCATCTTGGATAGTTCTTGGAATGCTGCCCACAGCAGGCTGGGACTGCACTGCAGGGCACCTTCTCAGGAGCTTTCTTTCATAGAAAAGGTGAGTGTTGGCATTGCTGCATTGCAGGTCAGAGAAAGAGGAGAGATCTGGGGCAGCTTGGAGTCGGGTTGGGGAGCAGGCAGCGCCTACCTCCAGGAGGTACTTATAATTTGTTCAGAAATAATAGAGCAATATTCAGTCCAGCCCAGAAGCCACTGAATTTATGTTGTGAATGGTGTTATGTAACATCAGTGCCATTATCGGGAATGTAGCCCATGTCTAAATGGCATCATTGTCAGTAGAGCCATATTACAGGGTCCTTTCTGAAAAAACATGGCTTGCTTCTACTTCTCTGTATCTGTGTATGAACTAATGTTTTACCATTTGGTGTAACCCAGGCTGCAAGAGCTGCAGAAGGAGAAGGCAAACAGCGGTTCTTCACCCAGGACGTCAATAACATCATACTGGAGTAAGGACACCACATTTTCTTGTCTGTCATTAGTGTGAGGGACGGCACAAAACTGTGTGGGGAAGGGGAAAGTTTACATAAAACATGGTTCTTGGGTGACAGTTCCTGTTCCTTGACCACACTTCCTAGTTCTGGGGGCAGAGACAAGGATGCTGCTACCCTGCATAAGCTCCTCCAAGGTGAGCCCATCTGGAATAGTCCTAATGTTCTCTCTAAATGGCCTTCAGTAGGAATACATCAATACTAGGGGCTTGAGGGTGAAACTTGGGAGGTGTGTCCAAACCTCTGGTTCTCATCTGGTCTTCACAAGAAGCTGTTGAAATGTGCAGTGATTTTTTCCAAATACTGTTGGCTATTCATATCCCTCCATTCAAGCATTTGAGTCCAATCTAGATTCTATGTCTAATAGCATCCCTTCCAGGAGGGTCATCCAATCCATACAGTGCTGCCTGTGGATAGAGGAGAGGCTTGAAACAAGGGTTACCAAGTTCAGTTCTTGACTGTGCCACTGTCTTGCTCTGTGAGCTGGAATGATTCCTTGGCCTCCTGGTATTTTAGTTTGCTTATTTGTGAAATGGGAAGGGTAGCTACCTGCCATATACCAGGGGTCAGCAACCCTTGGCACATGTGCTGAGCACGGCATGCAAGGCCATTTTGCTCAGGATGCCACTGCCAGCCTGGGCTCTAGGCAGCTGCTGCCAGACACAAAGCCTGGGCTGCTCCCAGCGGGTGGCTGGGTGTCTGCAAGCCTGTGTGCACCCACTGGTATGAAGCTGGTGCCGGAGCCCAGAGCACATGTTTGCAGTCTCCTGGCTGCAACTGGCCCAGGCTCTGGATAGCTGCTGCCAACCATGGAGCCCAGTCTGCTTGCAGCAGGGCTTGCAGCCGTGCTTGCAGCCACCCAGCCACCTGCTGGAAGCAGCCCGGGCTTTGTGGCTGGCAGCGACTGAGCCCGCCTGACTCCCACCCGCTCCGAGCCCAGCATCTGGTTCTGTGTGCACACACGTGTCTGGTTGCAGATGTTTGTGTACATATGTCTGTTCTGGATGTGTTTTGGTTCTCTGTGTTTGTGCACGTGGTTTTCTGCGTGCGTGTGCGTGTGTCTGGTTCTGTCTCTGCTCTCCTTTTTCTTTCTCTCCTCTTTCTCTTATTTGTCTCTCTTTTCTCTCTCTCTCATTGCAACATGCTCAATAAAAAAGGAATACAGAAGAACAAAGGCAACGTTTATAATTATTAAATATACTACAGTAAAAGCTGCGCTATCCGGCATCTTACAAGCTGGCATTCTCTACTAACCGGCATGCCAGCTTGTAAGATAAAGTGAAACCGGAAGTGCCCACTGCGGCACTTCCGGTTTCCCTGAGCCCCCACGGCAGGGGGCAAAGCAGTCTGTGCTGCTGAGCCCCCACAGCCTGGGGGCATAACAGACTGTGCAGGGTTGTGCGGGACCTGCCTCCCTGTCCCGCGGGGCCCGCGGGATGTGTGGCAATGCTGTGGGAGGGGTGCCCCAGACACAGCAAGAGAAGCACTGGCTGGGGCCGCTCAATTAACCAGCATATTCCCCCCAGGAATGGGGGATGCCGGATAACAGAACTTTTACTGTAATATGCAGTGCGTCCTGCCATGTACAGGGAGTAGAAGATCTGAGTGTCAGCTTCAAAAACAACACAGCAGATTGCTCAAGTTCAAACAAACAGTCTTTATTGTGCCATTGTAGTTCCCTCTGTCCTCTCTCAGACTCTACTCTGTCATCCCTGGAGCTAGTCTTTTTCCTCTTATGCCTACTCTGTTTTCTCTCCAGCTCTCTCAGGCTAGGCATTGGATTTGATTTGTGCCTATGTATGTCCTGAAACAGAAATATTGTGGTATTGGCATGTACACACATTGCTCTTTTATTCAGGATTCAGTGAGCTCCAGAATGCACTGCGGCTGGTTCAATGATGCAGTCCTGAGAGAACCATTCAGGCACACTTTGCAATGTCCCAGCATAAACTGTTAGTACTTCTTATTCCATAAACCATTTTAGGATTAACCCTGGGACACCAGATGTAGATGTTTGTATGAATGCATTTTGTTCTGGGATAAAATGTTTTATCCCAGGACAAGTGCAATTTTTGTTTATAGCCTCAGAGCCTCAATCTCTCTTAAACACAGCCACACTCGCAACAAAACTGTAGTATTAACCCATGAACTAACACACACCCAATCAAATGGAACATATAATGTTATGGAGAACCGGTCAGGGAGCAGTCTCTGTGGCTTGCTACTTGGCCCAGACAGCCATCTTCCTCTGAGATGAACATCTAAATGTCCTACTTATGAAACTACTTACAGCAAAGTATGATTGCCCTGAGTGCCCCAAAATATTTTCCACCAGAATGCAGAATAGAAATCAGTCCACTTAATTTCTTTGGTCACAGAAAAAATGATGCTACTCATCCATTTTAACAGTCATCTGTTTGCCCCAGGGTTAAGTAGTATAAGGATTGGAATAAGTTGGGTTGAAAAACCCTGGGGGACTTCTAGAATGAGCTTGCCACTTTCCTAGTGTCTTCTGGTGGTCTCTCCCTGAGTTTGATGATAATGCATGGAGAGGCTATAATGAAGTCATGAGAAAATATTGTCTGTCCTTTTCTACAGCATAGAGCTACAGACCCGGGAGCTGAACAGCCAGATCCGATCTGGGGTCTATGCCCACCTGGCCGCCTTCCTGCCTTGCAGCAAGGACACTCTGGTCAAGCGTGCCCGCAAACTTTATCTCTTTGAGCAGGTGGGTTATCTTGGAAGTGCCCCAGATCTATTAATTTACACTTAATTTCAGATCTTCAGAGCACAGTCATTGTTATTACATGAGGCACTGCCATTCTGTGCTGGACATCTAATGGCCACCATGTGGTTACAGCATTGTTGAGGTCTCTAAACTGCCAATATAGGATTTCTTGAGTGAAACGGGTTTTGGGATATCTCACCTTGTCTTGTGGTGCTCTCTGCAGGGTGGACGCTTGAAAGAGCCTCTCCAGAAGCTGAAGGAAGCCATTGGCAGAGCAATGCCAGAGCAGATGTCTAAATACCAGGATGAATGCCAAGCCCATACGCAAGCCAAGTTTGCTAAGTAAGCTTGTAATCTTTTTTATTAGTTATCTCTTTGGGGAGCTAGGTTTCAGTGATGTTCTGTATTCTATTCAGGATTATGTGCTCCGTGAGTTTGTATGTAATGGAGAGTAGTGAGATGAGTCAGTAGCTTTTTACATCCTCTGGTGGTTTATTTGGTTTCAGGATAGCAGTGGGCATCTTTACACGTGTTCTGGGGTGGAGGGGGTGTTTTTAATTAGAGTGGCTCTGAGAGTTGCTCTGATTAGAGGACCCACAGTGTCACATGTATTCAGCATCCTGCACTTCAAAATGGTGGTGCGGGGCACTTTGCCTAAAGATCATTGAGCAAGCTTTAGTTAAAGTGCCCCCGCCACCATTTTGAAGCATCGGGATGCTCGAGACACGTGACATGGAGGCTGCTGGAGCGTGTCAGTTAGCATGTGTTGGAGCAAATGTCTGGCACGTATATAGGTGCCCAATGATGTCACCTTTCCTCCAGATTTTTGAAGTCTGTTACTTTGTAGATATTTATACATGAATTTTTGAAGCTGTCTTTTCATTGTGGTTCTTTGCCTTCTTGTGGCTTGCCAGTCTTGATCACTTTAATAGCTGTGTTGAACTTAGCTATGAAACTATAGTGTCAGAGATGTGCGCAGTTAAGTTAAGGTTGACCTTGAGTGATTAAGTTGTTCACGAGTCAGGTGTTTAGTCATTTCTCTGTGTTGCTTACTTGGGTTAGTGTACCTGCTGTTTTTATGGTGTTTTCACGATGGAGTTTGTTGACACGGCAGTGTTGTTTTTTTGGTGTCTTTGCCTGTAAGGTGGTCAATTATGCACCATGCTTGTCTGCTCAAGTGAGTCATGTGTTTGGGAAAAAGCTGTGTACCACTGACCAAGTTACATTACTTACATCTGACATAAAAAACAGATTTGAAATGAGGCAGAAAACAGGCATGGTATTTATCAACCTTACAGCAGCCACCGATGACATTGTATGGCACCAAGGCCTCAAATATAAACTGCTCTCTATGATACCCTGACCACAAGTTATGCACTTTCATCATGATCTCCAGCAGATCATTCAAACTCATCACCAACAAAGAATTAAAAAAAACAAAGTACGAACTCTGAAGAATAAAGTCTCCCAAGGACCTTCCTGTATACAACATCTAAGCAATACATGTATGCTGATGATGTTGCCATAGTAGCTCAAGGAATAGCTATCACAGAATTGAAAAAGATACTAAGTACTGACATGGAATTTATTGCTTAAGCTCCACAAGTGGCACTTTAAAGTTGATCATCAATAAATCAGTATTATCACTCTTCCACCTGGACAGTTGTTGAGCTAAGAGTACACTGAATATCAGAGTAGTCAACCACATCCTTCCCTATGAGCATACCCCAACCTACCTAGGAGTTGTATTAGACTGTTCCCTTGCATATAAACATCACATTCGGAAGATCAGCAGTAAAGTCTCTGCATGTGTAACTGTGTTAAGATGTTTTGCCAGCATGGCATGGGGTGCCATTTCAAAGTGCTCAGAACCACTGCACTTGCAATGGTATATGCCTCAGCAGAATATTATGCTCCTCTATAGTCCAGAAGTTTTCATACTAAAAATCTTGACTCTACTTAATGGTGCGCTTATAACAGGCTGCACAACTAAAGCACACACACGGATGTACTCCCTGTACTTTCAGGCATTAGACCAAGTAACATAAAAAGACATTTTAACTGAAAATAGAGGCAAAAGATGACTAAAATCACCTGGTTGATCAACTGTTAACTGGAGACCTGAACAGATGGAGGCTTTAAAAGGCTTAAAAGTTGTAAACAGGTTATACGTGAAGTCCACAAGCTTCTAGAAGAGATTGGGGATGCTGAACCAAACCTATGGGCTGCAACACAGTGGGCCAACTGGTAGGAAAGGTCAGACTGTACACACCCAGGGTGCTGGCATGGCGTACCCACTTTCTAGGACTTCTTCCTGCTAGCCTCCTCATTCCTTCTGAATGTCCCTTCCATCTGTACTCTTGCCTGCCACAACTTGATGCAACAAGTAGACAAGGAAAGGACTCTTACAGGTGAGGAGACCCCTGGACATCAGGTCTGTCTGGGCCAGCACCCTCCTGGCCTCAGTTCAGTTTTACTCTAGCTGTGCTTACTAGCTTGGATCTCACTAGTCAGGTCCACAAACTTTAGATGCAGCAGGCATGTTTGCAGGCTTGAAGGCCTGCTGCCTTATGTCCTGCCACTTTCTTGCAGTTCTGGCTGGCATCTTCTCCCTGCCAGACTCAGAGCAAACCTCCCAATCTCTGTCTTCCCAATTGCATTTGAGGTTTGGGATATTTCATGAGCGCCTCCTTTCTGTGGCCTCCACCCCCCCAACAGCCTCAGTTCAGACTACCAGGTTAAGAATCACCCAGAATTAGCTCAACTCAAAACCAAAATGATCTGCCTGGTGTTCACCTTACCACAACTGAAAGAATAAACAAGTGCCAGAACTTACCTGATTCCCAGCATGATGCCGCTGGTCTTCCCTGCCCGTCTGCTGTCCAGTGCTGCTTCTCCCTGGCTCTGAGATCAGTTCTTCTACCTCTCCACGGGGAGCTCCTTCCCCTGGGATGCCAGTCTACCTGTCTGGCCTGAGGTTTGCATTTATAAAGGGTGATACAGGTCACACCTGACTGTTCCACTTCTACCCTTGGATCATCAGGACCCAGCAGCCTTCTTGTTTCCAAAATCCTCAGCCTGCTAGTGGGCTGCAGTAGCACCCGGAAAACGTGAGCAACAATGTCCAAATACCGTGGGAAAGGAGGAGGGGAACGTAAGGAGAGAGAAAGAGAATCATAGCTGCACGAGTGGCCTAGAGGACACAAGTAACTTAGTAGATCATAGGAAACAGTGTGTGGAGAGTTTTAGCAT